CATCCGACAATAAGGCTCAGGCAAATGCCCCCCCCCCCCCCCCCCCCCCCGTTGAGAATGCACTCTCTCCACTCGTTTCAATAAACACACGACAAAGATCAGGACTGGACAGGATTTTCAAATATGCCAGCTCACACGAATTGAATGGATTAAAAACCAATGGTATGAAAATAACCACCACACAGTTTCTTAAATTCTTAATGAACACAAACATTGCCAAATTGATATGAATGAGTGACACTGGGGTCTGTCGCTGTGAGAAGCTGGAAGCTCCCATTCCTTCCAAGGAACTAAAATATCTAATGATGAAATCCGGTATGCTAGGTTAGCATAGCTACCACCGCTTGTGATCTTGTCAGCAATCCTATTTCAGCCGAGGTGACGCTGCGTTTCAGAGTTGAAAAAACAGGACTGGAGCGCGCTTTATGCGTAGAAAGCACAGACAGAGATTGGAAATGCAAGCGCCTCTCAGAGAAAATTAGAAAAGCCAACTCCATGTGAACACTACAGTTCGTGTCTACCTATTCAGTCAGTCAAATTCATGAATTTAAAACCAGCTTCAAGTTAAATATGCTGCCTCAACTGCTCCACTTCAAGGTGCCCGCCAGAAAGATTATCACGCGCTCGGGTGGGGTCAAACTGACCTCCCAAAGGTTTTTCCAGAATGGTTTCCGAAAGGCGCCGCGTAGCTGCGCCAAATTTTGCACAGCTGTAAACAGTTGAAGAGCGGAGCGGAGCGGACAAACTGGTCTAAAATGTAACGCCATCTATTGAAATATTTATGGTAGCTTTCTCAGCGCGTTGAACACAAAACGATGAATGCAGAATTGCATATTATTGGTAGCATACATAGGAACAAGGCGCTTAAAACTGCGTACGTGTGATGTCATGCAACAGCGCGATGCACTACTACACATGATGAGAAAATGTATTCATTTACTGTGAGCAAAAAAAGCAGCACATGGTAGCATCTGGCATTCAAGCAATATGATCAAAAATGGATGATCTAGTTATTCAAAATGCGTACTGGAAGAGCATCGTTCTGTGATCTATTTTGATCACTGAAGCTGCTGGCGCTCCTGAAAAGGCTGCGCTGCAACTGCGACTCCTCTAAAACGAGGAGCTGTGAGCGTGAATCCCGCGTGGCCCGGCCACGGCGCCGGTTGGGCTCGTGCCGTGTTGGTGTTCGCTGGCCGTCAGGCCAACGGACAGGTCAGGAGGAGGTCGGAGGTCAGCTATGGTGGTGCGAGCAGGCGAGAACTGTCACAATGTAGACTCTCCCTGCCTGGAGTCATGACTCCTTGTGCTATCCTGTCGTACGAAAATGTCGGCGCATGCCACGACGTTAGCTCGGAAATGGTCGGTCAGGAGACGCTGGTGCTGTATTTGCGAATCGGCGAGACCCACGCTCAGGTCAGCCACCGGCGCCGTTGAGGCCGATAGACGGAGTCGAAGAGGACCTCTCGACTACCATGGGGCCTAACAAGGGTAATTAACGACTCAAGCTTGCTGCCAGAATAGAAGGCTACAACTGCTTTGATGCGCATCACGGTGATCTCGTTTCAAGCGAGCAATGCAACGCCTTCGTGGCCTAAGCCATCCTGCTGATCAGCGGCTGGACATCTGAAGAGATCACTCGCTGTGTTGCATGGCACACATTTTAGCAATAGGCACCTGCAAGGCTGTATGTACCGTACATTGATACACCGATCAATGCACGGATGTGTGTCAATGTAGTTCATCCAGTGCTGCCTCGGCTGCAACAGAGGTGCACAGCTGTAGTCTGTTTCTGTTTTGGGACATGTGCCCTTCGTGCATATAATTTTGCATAAAGGGACAAGGACATGTGTGGGACACTTTATGCATACCAGTTGGCATAAAGGGACAGAGACATGCGCCATTTATGAATATCATTTCGCACGCGTCTTTGCAGCATTGCCAACCTGAATATAAGCGGTGGTGGTTCAAAGTTGTATGTGTTGTCACTCGATGTTGCAATGACTTATGCTTTTCTTTAAGCTAATTATTATGTAGCGTTTTGCCCGTATCTTTTGGTATTGTTCATTCACCTTTACTGTGAAAGATATCACCTTTTAAGCTTCGATGGCATTTCTAATCATTTGCCAGCTTATCGTCAGTGAGGATGTGTACTTTGATGGTTGCATTATCACCAAAACATGGGCAATTGTTTTAGATTTCTTCTAGCCGGTCACATCAACGTTATGAAGGAACATGTTGCTGGTGATACCTACCTGTGAGCAATGAGATGACCTCAGGCCGCACACTTCCACATATTTTATCACATCAGACAATTGATGAAAAGTCAGTTAAGAACAGACTGAATTTTGGACATCACGAACCTTTACAACCTCCGCACACCTACGGCGACATACAAGACACATTTTTAATTCTGCAGGCTGTTCAGAGTTTTACGTTACAAGAATCTCAAGGCCTCCAAGCAAGCTATAGTAGGGTAGAGGCGGGAGAATTGGGACACTTTTGAAACTTCAACTTAACTGAGTCATTGCAGCAAAAATATGAAAGCTAGGTAGCATTGCACCATACTAATGAATGAATTGGAAATTTATTGACATCACACTAATAAGTAAGTTTCACCTTGTGGTAGGATACGACACATGTGGAGCAAAATCAAAGACCTTCATTTACAGCAGAATCGGGACGCACGCAGGAGAATCGGAACAAACGTGAATATGAATTGGGACATACTAAGGAGCATTGGGACAACATTTCTGCTTGGCTACATGCTCTATAATTAAATTGCAAATGGTCAAATGAGTGCGCTGCATTTCCATCTAATTGCGCTCAGGATCTTGTCAATGGTCGTGGCAACGTTTCCTTCCGCTGAAAACGGTAGCATATGATATTCATTTATCTCGTGTTCAAACTGAGACACAACATCATAGAACGTGAATTCAGGATATCTTTTCCACCTTCAAATAACTATTTCGTTTTTGGCAGAAGAACCTCAACAACGGGAAGGTATTTCTAACATAATATCCGACTAGTAGCAATGCCGGCAGTATGCACAGCAACCAGACGACACCACCACGCAACCTGCAGTCGTAATAATCACGTTAAATCGTCTCAGCCAATGCGCTACTTGCGGCACAGCGGATCACATGACTATCAACCTTGGCAGTCTAGGCACATAGCAGGCAACGACAACGGTAAAAAAAAACTTCCTACACATCGCACAATCACGTATCAGCACAGCCAATGCAAAACTTGTAGAACAGCGAATCGTAGGACTCACAGTCTCGGCAGTCTAAGCACAAAACAGGCAAAGCAACCGTCACAAAACCTCCTGAACATCGGGCTACTCACGTTGAATCTGCACAGGCAATGCATTGCTGGTAACACAGCGGGTCACATGACTAACAATATCAGTACCTACCCTAGGCACCCATTAAACAACGTACACGGTCAAAAAACTTCCTACACATCGTACTAATCACGTCAAATCAGCGCAACCAATGCGATCCCCGCGACACAGTTTATAATCACGAAAATATAAGACAGTTCAATAATGAGCAATGTTTTCTTAGGGATCGTGTGGGCGATCTGGGGACTGTTTATTGTCACTCTGCCATTGCTGCATTATCGGTTTAAAGAAGCAATTGGGATAAAAATTACTCACTTTCGGATATCCCCGAAACTCCTGCGGTGAGACAAGCCGGACTGCAGGAGATGCTGGGCTGAGTGGGTCACCTCCTTGGACCTCAGTTGGAGCCCGTGACGGCCCAGAAACTGCACCGGGTTTGTTGCTTGCAAATGGTGGCCTTTTCAGGTGCAGGTCAACCAAATCAGTCGGCCTCCTTGACAGGGAAGGAGGCTCCGGACTCTCGACGCGGTCCGCTTCGTGTGTATCGGCTTCGTGTGTGTCATCTTCGTGTGCGCCCGCTTCATGTGTGTTTGCATCGTGTGTGTCCACTTCTTGTGTGTCCGCTTCGTGTGTGTCATCATCAGTCACCCCTGACGCTCCTGCAGTCGCTGAGGGAGCTGGTCTGTCGGTGACGTCTGCGGGAAGGAAGTCATCCTTGGTGAAGACTTCAGTGTCCAGTGGCCAGATTTCTGTCGTTCGAAAGCCGGACAGGATGTTGATTGAGGTGGCCGAGCGGATCAGCGCCTGCCCCATGAGCTTCCCCATGTTCAGAAGCTTGATGAAGTTACCCGCATTTTGGAGCATCCAGCTGTCTACCTGCTTGCTGAAGCTTGTCTTCATCGGACCGAAGACGGTGACATCGAGCAGTTGGAGCCTGTGACTCGTGTGAGGAGGTGGAGTCACGAGATAGACTCCATTGTCCTTCGCCTACGTCAACACGTTCAGACTGACATGGCTGACGTGACTGTCGAGCACCAAGACGACTGGACTGTCCTTGCTTGCCCCCATGTGCTTCACAATCTGCTGCATCACCTTCTCAAAGCTTTCAGGCGTTATCCACCCGCTGCTGTGACACAGCTGCAGCAATCATTCCCGGGTGCCTTCCATCAGATTCTCCCGAAGAGTCTTTTGGAAGACGTAGGCAGGGGAAAGGTATGCCCCAGTGGCAGTCACAGCGACACACATCGTGAGAAGTTCGCCCCTCTCCGCAGAGGTCACCTTTCCGATCTGTTTGTCTCTCTTCCCAGCAATGACTTTTCCAGGCTTCTGTACAGTCGTGAATACAGTTTCATCTCAATTTAAACTCCTCGCACCTGAGGTTCGCGTCTGTTTCAGGACCTCAGACAGGTTTCCGAAGAATTCCTGCTGCCCATCTCTAACATATTTGCGTGTCCCCATTCTCCTTCATCCCAATTCTCCCGCCTCTCCCCTACAGAAAACATCACTACAACTCGGCCTCTTTCAGGTGTGATTCATGGGTTTTCCAGCATTGCGGCTGAAATTAAGCTCGCGGTCAAACGCCCTCCTGCCACCCGGATTAACGTGTTTATCGGTGCCCCACTGAAAGCTGCCATAGCCCTATATAAGACGACCTGCGGGACAGTGTGTATGCTTTTGGCTGCTGTTCGCACTGCTGATCACTTGTTCGCAAGGCACAGAGATGAACTTCCAGCTACTGGTAAGTGAAAATGTTAGAATGAAATGTTGGAGTGAATCTTGAGTGACAAATGTGCCCGTGAGAAGACATTTCCTGGTTCATGCACTCGGAAATTTTTCACGTGTCGTTGGAATATTTTAACAGGCCATGGTCGACGACGTTTTGAGCTAACAGTGCCATATAGCGGGAGTCATTAATTATGTGAAGCAGATGTAAGGGACCACGACCTATGTTTACTTGTGCGAGATGATGTGTGGAAATCGACGAATATTTTAAAAGATATCTCCCCCTCTCTCCCCTTCTCTTTGTTTCTCTCCGTCTCTCACCCTCCCTGTCTCTCTATCCCCGTATCTTTCTCCCTCTTCCTCTCTTTCCCCCTTACCCTCTTTTTGTGATCTCCATCTTTCTACCTTGTCATGTCCCTCCGCGACGTGTAGCCTCCCAACACCCTCTCAATTATTCCAGCCCTTCAGCCACTTTCTCCCTCCATTCCCCCGTCTTTAACTCACTCCCTGAATCAAGCCCTCAGTTCCTCCCCTCCTACGTCCATCAATCCATTCATCCGTTCGTCCCTTCCGCCATTCTTAGGACTTTACGTCACCCGATCCCTTGTTGTCTTCCTTTTAACTCTCTTTGCAATGTCCTCGTTTTTCTGCTGCGACGTTGCAAATACTGTTATGTGATCAGACTTCAAGCATGCTTTCCTACACTTCAGATGAGGGCTGCACTTATCTTGCAGCACTACTTTCGATGAGTTGACTTGTATGCATTTTTTTCAATAATTTCGTCGAACTATGATTTCAACGGACAAGCCAATATGATTGTGCAGCTTATACGGCGGTGTGCTGTTCCTGTTTCAGATTCTGCTGCTGGTGGCCGTGTTTGGTGCGGTCTCGGCAGGCGGATCCCACTACGGCAGCAGAGGCGGTGGTTACCCATACCCCAGCCCAGGACGCTACGGCACTTATGGCGGAAGCAACTACGGCCAATATCGCGGAAGGGACTACGGCTATTATCAGAGACGGTACTAAGGCTATGGCGGCGGCCTCGGCGGCTAAGGTCACAATTAGGGCCACCATCACTGCTGACAACACAACGTATGACTTGGGAGAGCCGTCAGCGGGAGAGCTATCCCGTTTGTCTCTCCGCGGTGTGACCAGACCCTGTCCTGCACAGTGACCGCTGTCGCAACTGGCGACTGTCTGTCTAACTCTGATCGTCACCTGGAACTGCATCTCTGCTGCAAAAATAAATCTGCACATTTACGGGCCGTGTTAAGGAACAACGGAGCAATTATTTCATCTTAGTGCCACGAATGCCAACGTTCGTGTGCCTCGCGATAGACGCCGTGGTGTTGAAGCAGATGAAGCGGAACGAAGCTCCGCATGAACGACACATACCCACCGTTCCGCCAGCAAAGCCGTGTATGGCTTGCGCTTGCTCTGTGTACAAACGGCAGTGGGGCCGTCTCAGGGGTAAGAAGCGTGCAGACCGGGTGTGGCGGCCAGTGCAGCCAGCCGCAGCAGAGAGCGAGATGAGAGGCCCGACCGCAGGCACAGATGAGATGAGAGGCGCAGGCTGGCTCCCACATTCAAAAATATCGCGCCGCACGATACGAACGGTCGCACCTTAGAGGGAATGTTTGTGTTTTTTCTCGTTGTTTTTTTCAACCGGACACGTCTACTGATGTCCTACAAAGCTATTGATATTAGCTCTAAGGGACAGTTTATTTGAGGCTTCTAAAAATGCTAATTCCGTGGTATCATCTTTCCAATCCATGGTATCACTGTGTGTTTGCACTGTGTGGGGGCGAACACAGGTCTTCGGGGGAAGAATGGTACCAGTCACCGGGATGGAAACGACCAATAACGACCAATAATGCATCCGAAACAAACTCAAACCACACGAAAAATCATGCTTCTATAGGGTGCCATTGCTTTGAAGCTAAGTCTTTTCATTTCACTGACGACAAATAAAATCACATAACATGACAGCGACGGGAAAAATGACAGGTCATCTTCTTTTTATAGGAAATGCACGACTCCTTAAAAGTTGCCCACGTTATGAGCAAGACAGGCAGGAGCTCGGCATCAATAGCATTGATTTTCTGATGTTCACCTTGGTACTAATAGCATATTCTGTCCTGAAATTCTGCATTTTCCCCTGCTTCGGATGTCATGTTATGAATGTACAATTTGTAACACAAGTGGTGCTTGAGGTTTGAAACAATAAAGACAAGATTGCTATCTTTCAGCAGAAAATGATGAAAGCATTTGCCAAATTACAGCAAAGCATATGGGGTGCTGCCATCACCACATTGAGATTTGCACGCATACTTTTCACCATATTTCACAAAACATTTAAATTGTAAGGAAACATGTTTGTCCCGCACTGATAGTCGTGGATAACGCAAACAATTCTAATATTCTGTACATTACGAGCTCTCATAAACATCACAACAGAGACATGTTAGGAACGAAGCAAAGAAAAGCTCTATCAAACCCCTAGGGAGTACGTAACTAGCCTAGCATCACCACAGCAGTAAATGTCAATGCAATTACTGGCAACGAAGCTAGATTATCTTAACTGTATTACTAGCTAGGTATTCAACATGGGATACTTGCATCATTCATGTTGTCTGAAAACCCTGGAAAAAAATATTGAAGAGAGGTGAGATGATTGTTACTCCATTAAATTCAAAGTTAGTAGGCAGCCTTCAAGTTTTTCTCGTTCATGCTCTCAAAAACTAAACTTAATTGGTATCACATAGTCAGCTCGCTGCCATGCCGCAGACATCACACGCAGTAACTTGAAGTTGTTCTCAGGAAGAACAAAAACCTTTATTGCCATTAAAGTGCAGACACGTAAGCTGAGGTAATTAAACCATCGCACAATACATCTTAGCATATTGTCTGAGGAACCTAAAAATTGACATAAATACGTGAGCCATTGAATAGCTCCACTCCCCTCTACCCACACTCCATTTGTGATCGAGAATATTCCTAAACTTTTCGGAATGAAAGTGCGCATGTGGCTTAAATGGCAAAAATTTTCACGAACGCTTTGAATTTCAGAGTATGTTTTTGCATTGAAATATAAAATGTTGCGTGGTCTGTATAACAGATTGAAGCTATCCAAAAGATCATGCTTGCGGTGCACCATACCTGCCCCCTACAAATGAGATTTGTAACAACCTTTCGGAGTAGAAATGTATGCATGCGGCTAATAGGAAGACAATTCAGGGCACCAGACGAACGGGATTCGATTTCCCGCGGTGACCGCCCTTCCTGCCAGGGTGAGAGGCATGCGACGCCATGTAGCCTGAGCAGCTGAGTGCGTCGTAAAGCCACAATGAAGCATACATTTCAGGGCACACCAAAGGTTACCATCAGAATGGCCTAAATCAGCACTAGCAATTCTGCTGATACTGCAAACCGATGTCGTTTGGCGTAAACTGGGGAAGTCATGAACATAGACAATTGTTTGTACATTGCTGTGATAATGCCCATACAGATAAGCCAAGGCAATACAAAAATACAGGTGTGGTGCACTGTGTGAAATCTAATTTTGTGAGCCGCACCAGGCCTTCAGTATAAAAGAAGGGTGAGTCCCACACCGATTTAGGTTAGCTGAACTTAATTTCTACAAGTAAGAGTAATCATGCATACCAACCACGCTCGCATGAACCAGTAGGGCCAAAATGAAACTCGCACTGAGTTTCTTGCCGAGGACCACTGATGGCTATCGACATTAACATAACTGGCAGATGAGCTTTGCATTCCTACTAGGAGTTCAGCATGTACAAGCAGCTTTCACAACTTTTTCGTTTGCTAACAATGTCTTTTAAAAACAGTCAAAATAGCAAGAGCGTAAAGAGGCATGTATGTTTTAGTGGCAAATCATAATATCTTAGACGTAAATATAACTAAATTTAACGCGCTGCTACAATCCCCCACGCAATACGCGATTTACAAAAATATGTACAATGAAAACCATGCCGTTCGGCCGCGATAATTTTTTTCATCGCATAGCAATCCATCTGATCCTTTTCATCATCTTCGAAAATTGTTACCGGGACGTCCGGCAGGGCCTATGAGTTTACATAATATTTTCAAGGACGCTCGGCACAGCCTGAGAGTTTCTATTAGTTTACTCACGGGTCACCATAAGAGACGCAACTTTCTCCAAAATATCAGCTTGTAGACCGCGTGCAGCAGAACTGTCGGGCCTGAGGCCGGCTGGGTCAGAACCTGGAGTGACAGCCGTCCCTGACCGTGGCTGGAAAATGACAGCTGTCCCTGACCGGGGCTAGGGAGTCACAGCCGTCCCCGGCCGGGGCTGGGGAGTGACAGTCGGCGGGCTGCCCGTCAGATCGAGTCGGGCGACGACTCTCAGGAGGGGTTTGGCTAGAAGCTGGTGTACGGCGACGTGTTCCGTCCGCCTCGGCACGGCAGCTGCTCTCTGTGCTGATCGGCTCCGGTGTCCAGGTGTTCTCCATGACGCTCACCACACTCGGTGGGTGACCTGCGGCCGCTATGGTGGCCCTCGCGCATGAGCCGTATTCGGGCCGGCCCCGCGTTGATGGTTGTCCGTGCCATGGTTAACACTGCAATGGCACTGTCTTCACGCCTGGTGCTCTTTCAAGAGGTGGCATTGTTACCGGGATTGTGCAGCACCTGTCGTTTGATCGGTATTGCTGTGATTTGGTGTTCCCCGCTGTGTGGTGAGCAGGGCACCTGGGTGCTTTGTTGTTGCTGTTAACGCTGTTTTCATTTTTGAGAAAGTGTCTGCATAATGTAATGAAGTGAGCATATGCCGCTCATCGTGTACTGGAAATTAATTCAAGAAGTTAACATATACTGCATATTTCACCCAATTAACTGCTTTTTGTCCTGCCTGTGTTGCGTCGCTGACCTGTACCAGCACCGGCGCTGGCTTCAGACCGCCTACACCAGTTTAGACGCTGACCTCCGACCGTCCATATCAGCGTCTTGTGTTGGCATCTGACCCACCCCTGCAGTGTTCGCGTGCCTGGGTACGCCCGAATCTATAAGTCTGGAAGTGGCGGCGAAAAGTGGGGACTCGACGCGCTCCTGACGTTGACGCTGTGCCTGGGGCGAGCCATGCCTAGCTGCCGCCGCGCTGCCGGCACCGGGCCGTCGCTCTCTTGCATCCGATTTGTGCGATTTCGATGTCGCTGTAGATTTAGAACTTGATAGAAACACACTTGGGCGTGACATGTACCAAACTTGGAATATTGTCACGTTTGAATCGGCTGATGATGTGTTGTGTGCGGAAGGCTGTGCCGTTGAGTCCTACTCGCAATCAGTGGAGTGGGTGAACGCGGCCAGCGTAATCGTGGTCATTGACAATGCCTGTGCCCACAGAAGAGAAACCGCTGTGCTCAGCGGTCGGTTGAGACGTCTGTTCCGTTGCATGCCGTGGTGGGTGGGGTCGGGGCGCTGTGGAATGCGCCGATGGTGCTTCCACTGAGCCCCCGCTCGCCGCCCGTCCGCAGGATCGTGTTCGGCATCACGCTGCTGCTCAACTGCGTGCCGTGGGCGTACCACTCGTTGGCAGAGCTGCCACGCCTCAACATACAGACGCTGATCGGGCTCTGGTTTCGGAGGGGGGCGGGGGTGGGGGCGGCGGCGGCAAGGCGCCAGCGGCGGCCGCCCCCAGGCGCAGGGCTCGGACTGAGAACGGCCGCGTGGCGCCACCGGCGGCTCCCAAGGGTGCTGGGCTCGTACGGGGTCGAGGGGGGGGGGGGGGCCGCGTGGTGCCACCGGCGGCTACCCAAGGGTGCTGGACGCGGACGGGGAGGGCGGCCGCGCGGCGCCAACGACGGTTTCCCGCGGGCGCGCTGCGTGGCTTGACCGCTGCAAGGGGTGCACTGAATAATCCAGCACAGAAGTACATGCATCACTTTTAAAACAGTAATGTGTAGTCATGGGTTTGACTATTTGTGGTATTCAGGATAGTGGCTAGTGGTCAGGAAAAAGTTGGTTGTCCTGTGAGCATGTAAAAAGCAGCATTTAACTATTCGCGCCCTTTAAGAGATTCGGCTCAGTCCAGAAAGTTCTTATTTCATTTTCACAGAACGAGCAAAAGATTGTGATTACAATGAGCACCCTCCAAAGCTTGCAATGAATGTTATGTACGTGGCGGTGACTCCCAGTAGCATTTGTCCGCCTCAGTTTGTATGTCTGTCTTAGCACACGCGACGGTGGGTAAGCGGGAACAGCGGTGTTGCTCGCTATTTTGC